TTTTGAATAAATCTTAAAACTGTACTTTTTTTGTTGTTTGATTCCATTCTGATGTTAGATTATTAAATTAAAACAAGAAAAATAGGTTATTAAGGGAAAATTAACCAATAAAAATAAAGGTTATTGAAACAAAACAAAACGAAACGATATGAAAAAAAGGGAATTGTTTTTCTTTTTCTTTTTTTTGAGCAATAATACAAATCGAACAAAACTGTTGTTTAAATAAAAACTAGTCCTAGTCTCATCATCATATACACATATATATATCGAACCTTATGTAGAAGCATAGAAAATGTGAACAATAGCAGTCATAATAAAAAGAAAAAAGTGATATATGATCCAAAAATGTTATTTTCAATAGAAATCTATCTTAAGGATTAAATTTTTTTTGTTTTCCTCTTTTTCAAAGTGAACAGAAAAAAAACGGGGGGATGTTTTATTTCCCTACAAACCTTTATATTATCTAAGGGTAGTTTTCTTTTTTTTAGATTTTTCCCTCTTCCTTCTTATTTTGTCACATGGAGACACAGGAAAGTTATTGATTAATGTTTATTAATTGAGGATAGAAAATAATAATGGCATGTAGCAATAGACGATATATAGACTAGTTTTTATTTGATTTTCGTATTATTTTTACATTTGATTCAGTTTTATTGAGATTGTAAGTTAACATCGCAATTGATTGTGTGTTTTTTTTAACACAATAAGTCATTCGCTAATTATTTGTATGATGACAAAAGTTTTAATTCTACTGATCTGAAATCGTCAGAAGATTTTGACGTACTTTGGATGTGTAAAAGTAAGTGGATCATAGTGATTCTCAAATTAATATGTAATTTCCGAGAATAACAAAAACACTGACAGTCAAACGATAATGTAAAAACATAGAGTGAATACTAAATCTAATGCAAATAAGTGATAGTTTTCAATCAGCACTCTAAAAACTATGAGTTAAGCAGTCAAACCGCTTGATTATATGACAGAAAATAAAGTCTGTTATCATTCTTGAAATATCCTCATACAGCCGTGTGTTCATGATCTACTCTACAGACATTCTAATCTCTCCTTTCACTTGACTGGTGTAGGTTAGGTGCTTAAACTGAATTAGTGGACATAGTAGGTTCACTAAAGGGAACTGAAAACTCTGATTACAAACCACTGGTGTGTATGAACTGTATAGTATTGATGGAATGAATGAGTCTGGAACCTACTCTGACACCGATTAACAAGTGATTGCGTTCCCTGATATTCCAAAACAACTGTGTGGATTAGAACAATCAAATCAAAAAAATGGAATTGAGTCCAGTAAAACAGTCATCGGCCTTGGATAGTGTGCAAGGTGCTTTTACAGCAATAATACAACTAATGATGATTGTGAATGAAGAAAATAGAGATAGCCACTTTCTATCCAACTAAAGTAATTTTACAACACAATGTTTGTTCATTTTTAACTGATAAATATTACGCCTGATGATTTTAGAAAAATAACAGAAAACTGTTGATTGTTAATAATAAAAAACATTTCATTTTACTTCATTTATGGTACAAAACTATAATTAAACGTTTACGGACAAGACAGAGTATCCAGACTTTATATAACATAAACATGTTTTCAAAATATTCATGCAAACCGATACTAATTTTTGTCAAGAGAAGCGTAGTAAAAATTCGGAAGAGCTCATTTTAATGTATTCATATCTCAAGTATATCATGATATTTGAGTAATATATATAATAGTTAGGATCGTAATTAAAAACATTTCACTGTAGCAGCCTAAGTTCTTCAAGACTAAAAGCGCATATCACATCACTTAACTACTTCCGAATATAAGGTGAAGAGGAAAATGCGAAGGGAAAACAGACTATTTGAGCTAGGTTTCCTAATTTTTGATAGTTTATTCATAAAGTGAATAAACTGAATAAAAACAAATTTTAATACTCATACAACAACATCAAATGTTTCAACTAAAAAGACAAGTATAATAGTAGCATTATTCAAAATTGTATGTCTAGTACGAAACGTTAAAATCAGAATACAGTATTCTGTCAACCATTGATATGCACTTAAGAAATGTCTGCATGTATATATATGATAGTATAATAATGTAATAACTAATGACAACATAATAATAGCAACATTATATATAATGTAACATAATTGGCATCAATACATTATGCAACACGGCGAAACAGTTCTCAGAGGTTCAAAGAAAAATAATGAGAAACAGTGCAACGTAATATTCAGGGATTTAAAACTTGTACAACACCATGTAGTTCATCCACAATCATTTCAGTTAAGGGAAAGTACATCTATCGAATCATGTAATAATCTTTCCGTTAAAACAACAATTATCATATTGGAGTTTCAGACGAGATCAATGTTAGTATCAAAAATGTCTCCCATTCAATCACTATGAAACATCCATGCACTCCGTTAGTTAACCAGAATCTCTTCAATCACAATCGCCTCCAGATTAGTCCAGTACGAATAGTCAGGTCGCCTGACTCAGTTGAGGGAGTTTCCGGTGCAGTTTCGTTCTCAGAACTGGATGGTCTTCAAACAGGGTCATAAATCAGGTCAATGAGGTGGGGGAGAGACAATCAAAATAAATATGTACAAAATGATAGGCTAGAAACGAAACTCCAACAAAATCATCAACATGAGTTTTCAATTTCGCATACTACCTCACTCCAGTATTCTACTGAATCAACTGAGTACTAGAATCACGAAACACTATGTGGTTACGAAAATTTGACATAAAGTTGTGGAAGTATTTTATTACTGCACTCTTAATTTTACGAACAGTGGTTATAGAATCAGCCGACTGAATATTTCAGAAGTATTTGTTCGAACTTCAGGTCTTCAAAATAACTCATTATCAAACAAGGTAAATGGGGTTGGTTCACACAGACATTTATAATGACGTGAATATGTTTGTCTTGATTTCAAGGAAGCTATTAAAACTGCACTAACAAGTAGTGGTATAAACTGTTTGATTATGAATTCAGTTGAAAAGTCAAGTGAATACTGTCACTGAATAAATTTAGACTTTCGTTTTTCGCCATTTGACCACGACTGAGTGTAAATTATCCAAAATAAAAACTAGAAAGATTAACAAATATTTGAATGAATGTTGACGGTATCGATAATAGCGAGGATTCATTTAGGACATGTGATTGTTATTTATATGAAACGAATTATCCATATTGGATTTTGAGAGATAATTTGTCCTCTAAGTACAAAGTTATTCAAATTAAATGTGTTTAGGCCTTTGTGCAAGAAATTATTGCTAATTAAACTTGAGAACATGTCAGTGTTCCAATAATCATGTGTCGGTCAGTATTGATTTCCAACATAATGAATAGTTAATAAGTCAGAAGTATGTAATTCATTTGTCAGGTAATTGATTATGCTGTTGTGATTAGATAATTGAATTTTTGTGGTTGTTCGATACCGTTTGGAAACCGACATTTGTGTATTTGTGTTGGAAGTATACAGTGGAATAGTGTGAACCATATCATGTGTATTTATGAAATGAATTGACGTGTTTGGTTTATTCCATTGTAAATGTGTCTGCTCGTACTGAAATTTTCACTGCCACATTTTCTTTTATTGATAACTATCTCTGACGTTAAGTTTCGTCTAACGCGGTTAAGTTAAATAGGTACTATTGTATAATATGTTACTTTTCAGTAGGGTAGGAAACAGAAGATTACGTCTATACTTATACTTCTTGAACCTATCTGAAAAGTGGTAAGTTTTTATGATGAGTAGAAATGATAATGCTTGCTTATTTTACCGCTAGACAATTGTCTTATATTGCTTATTGGTAAACTGTTCGTTCTTTCACCTGCATGGATGCAAAACGCTAACAACTTGCTTGCGTTTATTTACAAGGTTTTCGTGCTTTGAGGATCTGTCAATGCCACGTATATTTGTTTGGGTATTATATATAGGAAAAGGAATTCTTTAGAGATCCGATTACATCATACTTTTTCACTCAGTTTTTTGGTTTAAGGTAGGAAGCTATTATGATGAGTAGCTCTCGTAAGAATGAAGGAAAGTTTCTGACTTGTTCAGAAAAATGAACCGAATCATCCATCATGAAACACTTGAAGTGGAGTAGAGTTTTTGTTTTAATTTTATAGCCATTGAAACCTATGGTTATCTAAATACCAGTTACGCACTGTATTTAAATACCAATAGATCTGACGGGAGACTATAATTTGTGAATGAACCAATCAGATATAAGATGACGAGTAATAAATTATAACGCAAAAGTAATTCATCCATTTGGCTAAATAGACTTTTGACATTATAGCTGATGTCAGTTCGTGTTTGAAACAATTGACCTAATTTTTAACTTTAACCACCAACCGCAAACCATAATTCTAACTGCTTTATAGCTCTCATTTTGTCCTCATTATTAGGTATCCGTTCTCAGGATCACTTTAGAGTCGCTCAAAGGTCGTCCATAAATTATAGTCTCACTGATCTGACTTTAAAAATAGTCCTCCTTGTAGAAACTGGTTAAAATAAAGACATTGTTGATTGTTTAATTGCATAGCGAAAGTTATTTTATACAGTATTTATTTACTGTACAAATCTATAGATTTGTGCGCCACATCTATCAAAGTGGAAAAAGAAAGTATAAAGTTCCAATTTCAGAAAAACACAAATTCTTAGGTGTGAGTAAATTTTCGAAACTGCCCTCAAGTTATGAAACATAAAAAGTAGTAATTTTGCATAAAAAAAGAGTAATCTCGGTAAAACACATGTCTTTAAGCACACGTACATTGAAGTACAAAGTTGGAATTTAAAACGCCCACATGAAAAAAAGCAGAACATCGGAAAGGCGTGCAAAAGCCAAAACTGGAATCAGTTCAGAACCCACAAAATATAACATACAATATTTTATCATATTAATTTATGCATCTTATATAATATGCAAATATGTGTAACATATGTTCCAACCAGTTATTTTAAAAACCAAAACTTACTATCATTTGCGTTTTCTTCAGCTATACTATTTTCATGTGACTTAGAACTGAAAGGATTTGTGTTTGTCAATGTTGCAGATACCGTTCGCAATTTTGCTGTAATGTTCGACAAGCGCATAGTTGACTTTGTCCCATCATACAAAGATTTCGATCTAAAGACTTATTCAGATGACGACTGAATTTCTTACCTATGTAAAAACGCCTGAGCGCTATTAAAACCTGCTTTTTCTCGGAAACTCATTTTCACCTACATTTTACTCTGTTTGAACAATGCGGGTTAGGTTTTGACAAGAGTGACCTTGAAAGTGGAGCATGTAATGATTATATATTTTATGCTTTGAATCAGAGACAGTTTCGCTTACATATTTATCATATGAATTACCCGTGGATGTTCAATTTGCAATGATATGCTTTTCTGCACATGAAAGCAAGTCCAAAGCAAAACTGATTATTGGCAAATCCAGTACAATTTTTATTAGAATGAATTCTTAAAGAAGTGTTATCGTTCCATCTCAGAGGATATAAGGTTTACAAAAAGCACTTCGTTTTGTAGCGCTACTGAACCTTAAATGTTATTTCAGATGCTTTATGATACTATACGATCAGTAAATTACGAGTTTAAATTCATTGCGTTTCCAGATTACTACGTGATATGTTTTCGACTTAAGATCACTTAAGTAAGCAGCCTCACCTTCTAAGTTCCACTTTAAAGAATTAGGATGTTTGCTGAATCAACAGAAGTATTCGGTCATAGAAGCGTAATGGTTAAACACTATTTTGTGTGTTATATATGAATTTAGAACATAATAGTACGAACTAACTTCATGGAATTAATAATCAATATTGCAAACATAGACACACTATGACTGCCAGTAGAATCGAATTCATCCGCACAGGAGGGAAATATAAGCCAAATGAAATTGATTTATCGCAGTCCCAAACGTCAATGTGATATTCAAACACAAACAATTTATATGAGTTGAAATTATTCGTGTGTTTCATTTTTTGTTCGACCAATAATCTTTGTGACTGAGGGTTTTCTATGTACAGTGATATGAATATTATATCACATATGTGGAACGAACTCATTTGACACAAGACTAACATCTATATATACCGGCAGTGGTTTAGTGAAAAATAGTCTTATTAGGCATTGATACATCTATCTTTGATGCGTCAATAATAGACTTAATTAGAAATTAATGGATTCGTCGCCATGTGATTACTTAAGCCATTAGATGTTACTTGGAAATCACATCACAATCATAACTGAATCGTCCTGATGTCATAGTCAGCAAGATGACATCTAGCACTTCTGAAGAACACCTTTAGACAAGGAAGAGAATATTATATATGATTCAAAAAGAGTGACCGCACAAGCATGACCGAGCCGAGAAATATCAAATACTTTCATGTCATTTAACACTTGGTTGTCATTAGGCACTAGTCAGAAAGTTTTTTATTACCAGTTAATCCAGAATTTTATCGTTCATTGGCCGAATACGCATTGTTAATGCAATTACCAAGGACAAACTAAAGTATTGGATTCAAGGGAACTAGGATTTACCAGTTCTGTCAAACGAAATTGAAGTTTATGTGTTCATGAATTTGTGGTAAGTGGACGGTTCGTAACAGCTTATGTTGATTAGTTAAGAGTTGACCTCAAACAACTAAGCATATGTAAAAACAGTATAGTTCAAGCAGTCATTCAATTCCTTATTTTGTATAGACGTTATATTCCCTATTATCTTATAATGAATGTTGAGAGGCATTGTTTGTATGAACAGGTAATCCCACTCTACACTGTGGTTTCTCTTATCAATTGCACTAAGTTAACCTACTGGCACGAAACAAGTGAGTCCTGTGAAACAGAAACTTGGTTTCATTTTTTATTGAAGAAATGTATTCCTTTTACCTGGTCGTAAAGGTAGACCTGATTATCCGTGACCTAAGTTTGGTAAGTATATCTATACATTGTTTTTTTTTATCTTAAGGTATTCGTGTTGTAGTAACCATTTTTCTTGCTTACTTTATTACTATATTTGTCATATGCCTCATATCAGGCTCAATACAAAACAGAAACCTGGAGGATTTGTCAGCAGTGGAGATAGACACTGTTATGACGACGAAATCCCGACCTCCAGATTTGATCGTATTGATCCGGCAATGTGGTTCGCTCAACTAGAGTATTATTTCACGAGATACAATATCAAATCTGAAGGAATTCGCTATAGAGACATGTGTTCTATCCTTTTTACTCCAGTCGCCAAAGTGTCCGTGACTTGATTTTAAGCCCACTATCACCACAACCATAAATTATCTTAAGACGAGGGATAATGAACCGTTTATCATTATCAGACGGTCAAAGAATCCAAAGGCTTTTCCAAGGAGGAACATTAGGTGATAGGTCGCCGTCACAGTTTTTATGTCAACTCCAAGTCTTAGTTGGTGGTAACACAGTGGGTGAAGCAGTCCTAAAACGGGGATGAATAAAAGCTCTCCCGTGCTACGTCCAACATTGTTTGGATGCACAAGATCCTGAAACCTTATCTCATTTAGCGCGCATAGCCGATAGAATAATGGAAAGAGGTCCACCAACTGGATCACACACGATAAACCACACACAAAAAAAGAATCAACAAAAGACCTAATCACAGAAGGACTCATTGCGAGCGTCAAAAGTTTCATTGAAGCTGTCGCCAGGATGCGAATGGCTCACGGAAACAGGAGCAGATCACCACAACGACCAAGACACAAGTCACAAAACTGGTCACAAATTTCCAGAGAATCTTCGCAGTTTTGTTGGTATCACTGGAAGTTTGGTGCCAACTCAACCAAGTGCATGTAGGCATCCGCCTGGCCTAAAATAATCCAAAGAATACGGGAAACGTGTCACCCTTTCCCAAGGTCGCGACGATTGAGAAGGAGAGCCTAAACAGTCGCTTGTTTTATGTTAGTGACAGAAACTCTGGCTTGAACTTCTTGGTAGATACTGGCGCAGCTCTTAGTATCATTCTTCAAAATAAAACTGAACAAGGTCGAGGAATATTCCCAGTTACATTTCAAGCTGCCGATAAAATTAAAATCGAGACAGTTTGCCTTATTTTTCTTACTTCACAGTTGTATTAGTTACTTTTCGCACCCTATTTCTTCAATTGAAGTAGTTAGGTAACGCACTAAACTTATCGACGAAAATTATCAACTAAGCTCGGTACTACCCAAAAAATTCGAGAGAACCGCACGTTCGAATGTCTACTACCAATGGTTTTGTATTTATGGAGCCAGTTACCAATCAACTGGTTAGGAGGACACAAAATAACATTAGCACCAAGTTAATGTGAGTTTTTTGCTGTTTATCCTGTACTAGCTTTTTACTCTTCTGTACGCTAAAATGACTAGCAGTTAATATTATTTCTCCACTCGTTACCTTATTTACAACTCACATACTTTTATACTTTTCCGCCTGCTTTAGTAAACAACTATCCTACATTGTACTCTTCTTAATGCTTATACTCTGATTGTCAAACGATACTTTATACTATAGTCAACAGAAGCACTGAATCAATGCTTTACCCATAGTCCACAATTTGTAACTGCCTGATAAGCTTGCAAAATGGTACTAACAGAAATGGTGCTTTCCAACGGGTTGTGAAACACAAAGGATTTTGTGAGGCATGACATATATCCAGAAGTAAGCTTAAGTGAGCTTTACATCACAAAAGGAGGGAGGGTGGAGTTACTGACCAGCAAGCATTGATGGTGAAAGCGATGACTTCAATCTACCCGTGTTTATGGGGCAGAACATTTTGAATGTATGATTGGAAATAAGACAACCAATCTGTGAAATTGAGGTTGTTATCCTACCCCCACCACGCAGACTAATGTTTCCAATTTTATTCTGGATTAGGTATTCTACTAAGACAACCTATAACATGCTAACTCGGAATTTTACACTAGGATTGTGTGGCTGGCATTGGATGGACAACGAAAAGAAAAGAAAGAAAAAAAAGTACACAACAAAGGATATAGTCATTAGTCATAACACTTCACCCTCTATATGCACACTCCCTTCCAATAAACAGCTCACCTTGTACCAACCTTGACTTCCCTCTGTTCATGTGAGCTTACTCCAACTTGTTAAACGACACAACTCATTGTTCTTTATTACTACATTCTCTTATACGGAGCCTCTAACTTCATTTCACTCTAACAAGAGACAATATAAATTTAGCCTAATTTATTATACCTCTGTCTGTTCTACTACACAATGTTAAGCAGCATTTGGCGTTCATATCCAAGTGCCTTGTTGCTCTTCTGTTTCGTCGAAGACATCTTGCAGCAAAACATCATCTATAATTGTGGCACATAAGCCTAATTGATTCCAAAAACTTATTACCACTATATCAATTAAATCGTATTCCGCCTTATGCTAAACTGAATACTTGCAATCAACTTGTATGCACCATCAGCCAGTAGGTATGAATATAAATAAATAGTCTATGGCAAATCATAACATTGAGTCTAGAGCATGTCTCTTACGGATACACTTATGTTTAACGAATTGCTCTTATCTATCTGTCCAAAATTCACATAACCATTACCTTTCATGCATTTAAAATTTTTTGATAACAATTCATATGCATTTGTAGTATTACTAAATTCTATCACCGTCAAGTAAAAATGAGGTCGAGAAAATCTCTCCGTAACTAAATAAACCGTATCAAACTAACTGGAACACTAGTTGGAAGTTTTTTCCATGATAATACTTCTGTTCTATAAGTTAGCCTACTAATGCAGATGCAATTGGAAATCACCTCATATGGACAGCTTACCGGTATAAACGTTATTTGGGTTAATAATTAAAACCCAAAGTAGTATCAATATTAACATTTCTACACTATTGACTGCTTTTAATATTTCTAAACACAAAATACTTACTACCTATAAGTTCTTAACAAACAGCTATTAACACGCATCTTTCGTTTTATTATTATTATAACCCCACTTTTTATAGCTCGAATTTTCATGTTAAGCATGAAAGTAGTTATTTTAAAATTATTACATGTATCTAAAAATACAACTAAACCATATCATGCCTCTAAGTAATGCAGAACGTCCCGTCGTCAGCGTCGATATTCCCGGATTTTATTATCATACAACATCGCTTCTTTCTGCCCTAATACGTTTTGTACCGTATTTTTGTCTGCACAGTGCTATCTTGAATATGATTTGACGTGTAAATAAACTGTGAAATGATTGAACCCAGTACTTCAAAATGAAGTATTGTAATTCAATTAGATTAAAGCTTAAATGTTAAAAATAGTTTGATACCCAGAATCGAATATTTTTTTGTCAGCTTAATTAGAGCCTCTTTTTCGTGTCGTGCATCAAGAAGTTGATGAAACTCTCAGTAATATCGGTCTAGAAATCTATGTAATGAGGACTTGAGTAATATTTATCCAAGTTTGTTTTTAAGCCTTCAAACTTTGAAAACCGTTATCCTTGTTAAGTAGTATACGATATTTGTTATAAAGCCCACAAATTATGTAGCGTATATAGTCTGTATTGGCTGCTTGGGTCTAAGAACCGGTAAGTTACTTTGTTTTTAATTTTACTGACTAGCAATCAAAGCACATGACATATTAGCACAGGTTTTGTGAAGAGCCTTGTTTTTATATGCGCCCGAACTCTGTACTTACTGAACAGAACACAACTGAACTCTTAATCAGCAGACTATATTAGTCAGTAAATGAAGCGACAACTATTTCTATTTCACTGACTACTTGTTAGCGAACACCATAACACAGACTGTCTAGCTGACGTTGAGCAGTGTACTGTGACACAAAATGTTGCATTAAGTTAAACGTATGATAAGCAAACGATAATCTATTCAGTTAGTTTGAATAGAGGTTATTATGTACTAGAATGGATATTTCAATGCAATTGCAACAGAAACATATTGAAAAAACAAGGTGTGGGCCACGCTTATTTCCCCCTTATATCTAACGTGCTAACGATGTTACTAACGTCAAATGAGACAGCAGGCACTTCAACAAAGTGGTATTGAAACAAACTAGTTTATATTATCTCAACACATTTCCTACGCTTGTTCAACAGGTGAAATTTTTTGAAGTGTCCACGACCAAATTTGAAAATGAAGTGACAAATAATTAACCATACAACATTTTTAAGTAATGGAATAAATGAAAAACGACAAAAAATAGCTGTCTTTTGTATAGACAAATGCTCACTCGGTAACAAACAATAATTTTATCAAGCAATAATAATTTCACATAACAATGTTGGTTTCATTAGCACAAAACGGTCTACCAGACACGAAGACGAATGATAAATAAGCATTACGATTATTCCTAACAAAACGGGACCAAATATACAAATACAACGATTAGAGACCGCCTTTAGCTGACAAAGACGTGTTCGAAATAGTCAATCACTCCACGCTGCAACCTTCAGAAGATGTAAAACAGCATCCATATGACACGCCATCTTCCACAGTGTACAACCCAGTTTTAATTCAACAACCATCTGTTTATGCATAAACATTTTGTTATCCTGCTTCTGCATTCAAGTTATAACCTACCATAGATAGATAAACAAGTGTAACGTAATAAATAACGCAACATTTGTAATAACTTGATCTTGTCTGTAAATTCCCGTGTTTCAAGTAACTTACGGTTTTTGAGAAGTTATTATTATTATTATATTACACAAATGTTTATCGCGAAATATAACATCAGTACAACAAAACTCTGGACGTAAAGGAATCAGATTGCGTTCATACAAATGCATTTACGACCACAAGAATAAAACGATGCATAAAAATGGGGAATAATAAAACATGAGATTGATAAAGCTTGATATAAAATATGATTAAAAGAAGGATTTCATTGTGAAGTAAAATATATCACAATAAATATCACAGCTAAAACAGTGGACAACATTGATCATTAAAAGTAATTTTTATTATTTGGTATCTGAGTTTTCGGAACATTGATTTGTGGAGAAATTGATTCGCCTTTGGTACCTGTGGTTTCAAGTGGTAGAATTGGAGAACTAATTGATATGGGATTTGAAACAACTGATTTAAGAGCATCTGAGAATTTCCAAACAAAACTTGATGGCGAAGATGGACGAAATGTCGAGTTGAAATCACCTAGTAATTAGAGGAAATAAACCTAGTTGAGTGTAAAGAACCAATATCATAATGAAAGTGTGTGATAAGGACGTTCTAATCACGTGTATAGGAAATTAGTGCAATAAGTGAACAGGTAAACATAAAAATCGATGTTCTGAGACAGTCTGCACCATTCGCTTAAGAATGCTTTCCCCAAAAATGATCTATGTATTCACGACTTTTTGCACACATTTGGATTTGGCTTACCATATATCTTTGAGACGTCATAATACTTGTCTGGTTTTCCTAGGATATCGGTGCACAAAGGAAGCATTATCCACTTTATTCACTTACGCTCTGATGAAAACTGTGAGAGCTATGTCAATCAGTGAAAACGAACAAGATGTCCGGATTTTTATTTGTACTTAAGACTTAGTCATAGGACTCAAGAATTCTACAAATTTAAACATTATTCTTCAAATCAGTCATTAGTGTGTACAAATTCAAAACCAGTCTGAATGAAATTGGTATATATCGAATTGTGGGCCACCTTTATTCGACGGTTTAGAACTGCTGAAATTTCTAGGTGATCGGATTACAAGTATTATGGTATACTTCATTCGATTTCACTTTAATGCATTACTAGTGGTTATAAACTGTCTACCAAAATGTCTAACTATATAGTTAATTTGGATGCGCTAAAGTAGAATATCTGGACTATGAAATATATTATTTCCCAATTTGAAAACCAGACCATTGTCGAGCTAATGCATTATGGAAACTTAAGATAAATTATATCTTCGTCATGATATACGTTGGCAATGACTGACTGTACTTATTTATAATTTAACTTTGATTACAACCAAAAACATTAAATACTTACTGCCAAATTTCACAAGACCAGCAACACTTTGACTGACAAGTCTGCGACCTTGATCAGCAGCCATGTTGCTCAACCTATGTAATGAGAAATTGAAATGAATTTACAAATATATTTTATAATTTGAGGTTATGTGAAGTTTCAGCTAAGAAAGTGATAAAAAAACTTTTTAACCCATTTCGGATTCTCGAAAAGATAATACCGAATGGTAGGCAAATTGTTTCGTTGAACTGAAGAGTTTCAATGCTTGTGTATCAAGTAGTTAGTTATTTACTATCAATTTGAGTACGAATATTATGGAGATTAGTTCGTTCGAAAGACGGTATCCATTACGTACTGACATTAATTGTAGAAGCATTAGAAAATAGAGAGAAATAAACAGCGGCTTACTTTTGTCTGTAGTTTCAGTAAGCTCATTGATGCGAAATTTCCACGGTTCATTAACTAAATATAAGTAATATAACTACTTACGACAAATGAAGTCATCTATAAATCCAAGGCAATCAAATGTGAAAACAATAGTGAAATAAAACTATTTGGTGTATTTCATATATACCAATCTACTTCACGAATTGAGGTAATAAAGGGTTAAAATACAAAGACACGTTAATATACAATAAATGGAATGTAGCTAGGGATGGAACTCACATTACAACTATTCTATATTAACATGGGTCATAATGGCTAAATTGAGGTAGTCCGCACAGGATCCTCAAATGCGAAACAAAGTTGATCAAATTTCAGTCAAACTATTAACAACGGGATAATCCAAGTTATTTTAAAATGAGTCGCAAAGACATGTTCTGTACACTAAGTGTTCATAAATTATATGTTCATAAATTTCTCTTTGTAATATAAGTCTGAAAAAGATGACAACTTGCCTAATTGAAGTATTCTCACCTTAACTCAAGCAGCTGAACCGCAGGGGGGAAGGTCTACTTTCCAGGAGGGAGAGGTAATAGAATAGACTGAGCAAGATTAAACATACCATGCGCTTGTGTTCATATGCCATCTCAAGGCCAAGCGCGCCTGATATGATATATATATATATCCGCATATTAATGATCTGCATGCATTTTTGTTCATTTGCCGATTTCTATTCTACTCACTCCCACAAAAGATTGAACTGAAGTATAGGAAGCGCGTATCTTTTTATTTGAATGGACGACCACAGAATGTGACATTACTTGTTTTGTTAGTCCTTTTTTCACTATCGTTTATAATTCATATGGAAGTGTTATATCAAAGAATACTATCAAGAACTAAAGTTAGGGATTTGAATTGATCAAAATTAAATTTGAGTTAATTTTAACTATAATCAGATTTCCATAATAGTGTTAAATATATGCACACTATTCGAAAATATTGCTGAATGACCTCTAAAACGCATATCAGCATTAAAATTTCATTTGATAAAATGTTTAAATGTTAGATATAGGGCAGACAAACTTTTTAAAACTATCAGCAATTTGATTCCAATCATCAGGTTCTGCAAGTTTACGTCCAGGATGTTGCGAGACTACAGCAGCAACAGAGTTTGGTGAAGTTGTACATGAGTCCTGCAACTGTGAATTCTGGAACAAAACAAAAAAACCAAAATAGAAATTTATTGAAATGTTGGGTGACTTTATTATTACAGTGCCCATATATGATGATGTATTTATGTTAACTATATTATAACTTTCTAGATTTTAGTGAATCTGTGAGTCTTATTACACATAATTTTCAAATAACGTTTGTTCATTTGGTTACATGCTCGGATTTACAACAGAACAATAAGTGAAATACCGAATATTCGTGTCAGTTTTAAATCGTTATAAACTATGGAAATTCTTCCATATGAAGCATTCAACTTTCTTTATCGAATATGATGTCGGTATAGTGAAAAATCAATGAGTTTAGTGTTTGGGTCTCAATTCTAATCAAATCTGCGTTCTACAATTAATGACGTTTAAAAAGACGTTTTGTTCATATTTTCCAACTATAAATTGTGTACAGTTATGTCACTTTGCTTAAGTTGGGTCAGAATCGATCGCGATCGCAAATCTGCATTTATTCATTATCTTGAAATACCTATACTTATGCTAAACAACCATTCTTTGTTTGTGAATCATATTGTCTATGTGTAATTTTTACAACTGTCTCTGATACTTCAATTATCTCGTCATTTGTATTGATAATTTCATCTCATCTAAAGTGACAGTGTGTGCGACATATATGTGGTAAGTTCTATTTAAGCTTATGACAGACTAAAACTTTCTGCTGATCAGTCAGTTTATCTTTCCATATTCATTAACGGCGGCCTTTTCTTCAATGAATCAGGTTTTATGAATAACTACCAATATAGCATAAAAATTTAAATGATCGATCGCACTCCAAGTAATATTGTTGTTCATTATAGGTAATGTTATTGTTGTGGTAAATATGTTTATTTATTTCAACACAGATATTGGTACAAAGAGGCACCAAATACTTATGCGCCACACAAATCTCATTCGATATGTGTGAGGGCTGTGATACTACCCGGGTGCCCAGACCGAAGCAATCGGTTTTCTTAGGGGGCCACACCCCGAGCCTTCGACCTGAAGGTCTGATCCACAAGGCAGTGGAGCATCGTAAGGAGGTGCAGTCCCATGGAAGCCGGTGACCAACAATTGGTTTATACGCCATTTGTTCCAGCAGGATACTGGAGCCCATGTGCACCATTGGTTTGGAATCCGGTTAAAGCACCGGAAATTCGCTTTTTGTCCTCTCATTTTCGTAAACAACACCCCCGCCACGAGAAGGCAGTGAGTAGGACTTCCCTGGCAGAGGCTATATACGTGTGGCCATGTGAGAGCATTTCAAGAGGGAGAGAGGACTCTCCCCACTGTCGGCCGTATCAAGGCATTTGGGGGCGGTAAATATGTAATTATAAATCACAATACAGTGGTATCATAGCATTGCGATTCAAATGTAGCGTTCATGTTGGGAAAATTCTTTATCAAACTATTGTGGGTACATGATATTAGTAAAAATACATAAAATTAATATCATTTGATATGGTAGTCTCCATTTGCTGGGATGTGTCGATGTTTGAAAAACTGAATTCGTTTGTGAAAAAATGAACGTAGCTTAAGCTTAGCTAATGTTTTCTGAAACAGTATTAGTGCTGACAAACTCGTATCCTACTTACAATTTACAAATCAATATAAAATCCTTAAAGATAAAGTTGGATTTCATTAATAACATGCTTTCATACGAAATACTTAATGATCTTATATACACACACACAAACAAACACAAGGATTAGTCATTATTTCCAAGTTCAAATATTTTCTCTACATAAAATGATGTTACGTAAATACCAAGCAACATAAAAGTAAGAGAAAATACGTTCAACAATCCTTAAAATAATTTTGAAATTTAACCAACTAATGAAAACTAATACAATTATATAGATTATTAAAAGTAAGCAAATCTACACAAGAAATAACTGACGTGACGTAATCAATACTTTGATTGGATCAGGTTAATAAGGTAATATGTTGTTACTGACTGACTGAAATGATAAAGTTTGCCATATATATTCTATCAGAAAACTTGAAAATATTTCAGTCAACAATAAAGAAAAAAAATAGAAAGTAATTAAAACAAGCAAAAACATACATATGAATCTTCAGCTGTTTTTAAAATTTCCACATTATCATCTATTGATTTGTTGATTAATTTAGTGTCAGAAGTATTATGATGAATTTGTTCTGGTTTAGAAACAGTAAACAATTGACTTGGAATAAATTGGTAACGCCAAATTAAAAAATTTCTTGTTAAACGAAAACAAGTTAAATAGGCGGACTGAAAGTCTGATGCATTGGAATCTATAGAGAATTATTATGCAAAATTATAAGTAGATTAGATTTAAGTCACCTATAACAAATAACTTTAAACAAATAGACGCTTAATAATAAAAATGATAGTTTTTTTTGAAAATATAATGTGTGAGATCATGAGTCAATTGAAGCTAGACCACCATGGAAAATCTGAAAGCACTAGATGGCCATTTCGTCATATTGTGGGACTCCTCAGAAGTGAGCATCCACGACCTATTAGTCTCGCGCGCGATCGCTTAACCACTAGACCACTGAACCAGCTGGCATCCAACGGTGTTAATGTCTAACTTCAAACAATCCAAAAAATTGAGCGACACATCCACCATTGTCATCAGTGAGTTACTATCTCACAACAGACCTTGTTGAACTCCTCTGGTCACTGCTTCTCACTAGAACTTCAGGATATACCTCTTGAAGTCAGTCACTAGTGAGTATGTGTTGATTAGTATCAGGGGTTTTGCAGAGATTGTAATAATTTAAGTATTTGAGATCATGATTACTGATGACAATGGTGGGTGTTGAAGTTAGATATTAACACCGTTGGATGGCGGATCAGTGGTCTAAGGTGACCAACTTATCGTGAAGTATCCCGAAACTTGAAAATTAAGGAAATTATTCGTATACTATGGTGGTAATTATAATTGAAGATAGCTGGAGTAATAAGGAACGAAAATTATGCTGTAGTCATTATATTCGATGTACATTTATTGGTAGTTGCGAATGTGGTGGGTTATATACAGTTATATTTGCAAATAACATGAAAACTGGAGAAATATAATACAATTTGCTACTCGATGGAACATAATTATCACAGGTGTTGGTAGTAAATAAGCGACATTGACACCTAATCTTATTAACACTGATTATATCACTCTGTGCTTACTAACTTTATAACAAAAAAACTAGACAACCGTACGCCATTACTAAGATACAAAATTAGCGAAAACCGATACAATTGTATAAGAATATTGGAAACATTCTTGATTATGTCCGATCTGAAAATATTCATGTAGAGTTTAACATTAAGATTGCATAAGTTTTGCGAAAAACACTTATTTAAAGGTTAACGTTACCTCGTGAACTTACAGATTGAAATGATAATTAAGTCAGGAACATACCACTTGATTACTTATGCAATTAGTTCACGATAAAAAAAGAAAGAATTTATCTGATAATTTATATCCATAGGTTGTAAACATATATCAGTGAAAAGAGACTGCAAAGAAACAACTTACTGTAACCTTGAGCAGATAATAATAATGCTCTCAAATAAATTAAAAACTGTTGTCGTATCCAAGCATCTAAAATAGTTTGAGCTAAATAAATAAAACGAAAAAATGATAATATATGTACAGAAAGTTACATAACAGTAAAAGTATTAATACTTGACAACGTATATATATATATATATATATATATATATATATATATATATATATATATATATATATATATATATATATATATATATATATATAATTGATCATGCACAGTGTGGGTAGCCCAAAGAGAAAGTTTATCTTAGAAACTTCCATAAATTAGATGCGTTTACCAGTTCACTTGATATTGTGGAGCAGTTTATATTGGTCGTAAAAAGCGTGTAGTTGGTAAATAAATATTCCAAAACTACTTTGTATGGCTATATATCTAAAAAGAGAACGGAAATCGATAAACCGCTCAATCCTTCGCACATGGTCACATGCTATCACGACAATCGTTTAAAATCATTGTACTATTTAGAATTCTGTTAATTTATTTCGGTCACTTATTTACTCTGAAAAAGTGGCCCAAATTAAGTCACGAAATATCAGGAATACAGTTTTTCTACTCATTAGGATATAACAAAAAATATATTTATTATTGGTTTGAAGGAGATTTGGATCAAGAATTTGTGCACACTTGAAGTGGCAAACATTTAATATTGTAAACCTGATTTCTGTGTACAAAAGAGCCAAGTTCAATTATGTAATTAAAGTGAATTTTAAACAGACTACAGTTCTTAAAATATTTCTATAATTGAATATGCACAAACTTATTTCAGTGAAAAAGTTTTACTTTTTTGATTGGAGATACTCAGTAACATGAATCAAAATGGATGGTTTTGCAATATGTTTTGAAACTTTTCACTCTAAGAATACATTCTTTTATTTTAAATCTTATCACGAACCCTAAAATTACTTCGACTCATTTTGTTAATTTGATCTCATGAATATTTTTCTAAAGTCCTATGCTGATTAGAACATATAGTTTTATGCACAATTGTGAATACATTAAGATACATGTTGTTCTACAAAATTGCTATTATGTGATAGCCTGTAAATCATCATTATACGATAAATATATCTGTCTACCTTATTGTATTAAACTGACTATACCTACGAATTGACAAAAAAATTTGTCATTATTATTAAAATATATTACGTATTCCCACCTACCGACTTTCGTGAAACGCAATGCTGATTGGTGTTGGAAATAAGTTAGGGGCGGACAAACCAAAACATGCCATCAATCCACAAAGTCAATAACTTCCAGTCTGAGCCATGTTGGCAGATGCAGACTACTTGGTTAGGGTCCGCGCGACTACCGTAACCAATGGTTAGAGATTCTGGGTGACATGGTTCAAAATCGATCACAATGGCGTCGGTGTATACACTCTTTGTTTTCCTTTGGACCGTGAGATTAAAATTACTTTATATCTTTATTTCTACCAACTAATTCTTTCTTTCATGTATTATCACCATTGAAGTGACTACTTCTATGAATTTTGTGTTCATTTTGTTGTGCTAGTGAGGTGTGGCAACTTCAACCGATCTATATATGTGTCTGGTTCTTCTTTGTAGCTGACTGACTGACACAGACTAAAAAACAAGTAGTTGATAGCATTCATATACAACCTTCATACAGATGAATGTCTTTCATCTTCTCTTGAATCTTAAGTCCAACACCAAAAATTTGTTTGACATATTATTTACAGAAATGTCTATTTATAACTTATAATTTTGCAAGTGAAAAGGCAGTACATTTGTAGTACCGGTTACTATGTTAAACTCACATAGCTTATTCTACCTTGCGGACAAGCCAATTTATTCATTCTTCTTGAGTGACATTTTGACCTTGTCAATTATTCGCGCATTTCTTATCTTACTCATCACGTCTGTAACTTATATTTTTCTGACTGTAAATATCGATTCACGCTTGGTTAAATCGAGCTGGTTCATTCGCCTTCTAAATTGCGCATTATTTCGTTTTGCTTCGCTATCCGATCAACGATTGTACGAAATATACGTATTCAAAAATCCATTCTCGTATTTGACTTAATTCCGTTATTCACCAACGCGATTTAAGTCGATGATTATGTGCGATAGCAATCAACACACGATCAAATCGGAGTCCGATTTAAGGCCACTTAACAGTCATCGGTGTATACTGATTTTGAACTTAGAATATTTTGATTTCTGTCATATTATATTACTTTATAAGGTGCAGAACATCAGTGAATAAGTGTCTCAATTCAAATGGGATAGTTTGTATTAGCAGACACGACTATCATATGGCAAAATTATAAGACGGAAAATCTCGATTGATAACAATAAATACTCACATGGAAATCTTAATAAGGCTGTTTTTTGGATTAATGTGAGCTGTTCCAAAGTTTCTGTATCCAATTGGTCTAATCTATGAAAGCTATGGGATGTTACCAATTCACCTTTTTTGTAAGACAATTGTTGACAATAGTCTATTTGTGCACTGTACCATGTATTGACAGTCATTACCAAATGATCAATAAACAATCTATCAGTACGACTTAGTTGCAATGCACGGTTCAGTGGAACAGGCATAGAGCGTGAGTTGACAGGATACTTATCAGTAATGTTTTCTGAATTTATTTGAATGATTGGTTGTGATCTTTTGGGCTGAAATGAAAATAAAAGCGAATATCACGATTGTATGTAAGAACAATACATAATAATAAAATATTAACGATAATTAAAAATAAGCTTGACCAAAAACGTGAGTAAAAATCGTTGAACAAAGAGCTCAGGATGCTATTAAGTTTACTTTGAAGTCTGAGGGATCCTGAGTCGAATTAAAAGATGGTACTTCAAAGTGAATTTCTTATTAATTGTGGAATATGGTAGTGCCTGTCGGATAAATGCTGACTTTTATCAACTAAATAACTGAAACTAACTGTTAAGAACATCCTTCTCATAATGATAGATTACTGTCAAGATCGGAAAATTTATTGTGTTGCAGACAAGACAAAGTAAAACAAACGGTATTTTTATGTCAGTGAAATAATACTGGGAATATATAACTATTACTTCAGTAGTAAGTCATGGGACAACTATACTTGTGGACGAAAGTGTGTAAATCTCCAACTAAGGATTAAAAAAGAACATTTTATCTCAATTATATACAAACCGAAGCAAGACATAAATCTACCGACATCTGATTACTTACCAAAGAAAATGGTCGTGAAAAATTTGAAACTTTGGATCCCGTGTTTTGTGTATTCTTTTCACTATCGACATTAATGGAATAAGAAGTTTTCGTAAAATTTTCAGACAGTGAAAGACTCGACATAGAATTTGTTTCTATTCCAAAGGTCGATTTTCCAAATGCACCGGTTAGTTCAGACAAATGCGGGAAGTAGTTTTCACAAATATCCTTAACAGGCGATAAGGATGACACAAAAACCTCAGTTAGTTGTTTGTTTGATTGTAATAAGGGATTGGTTGCACCAGCTACAAAACCACGTACTGATCGATCGGTCAAAGTCAGACTCTGATTTCCAGATGATGGTAAATTAATACTTGATCTGAATGACATAGGAAGACTAGAATGTTCTAGTAGTATATCCATTAAACCAAGGGGAATGTACATAGGCGCTAAATAAGACTGTAGAAAAACAATAGGTAAAATTCGACGAACATTCTGTATGATATGTTATAAATTTTATGCGTTACAGACGGCATGTTGGACACATTAAATATGTTGACAAAACTAACCACCAATGATTAATTCTAAATTTTATACGGATAAAATTTTACAAAGTTTAGGTAAGGACCATAAAGCCTGAATGTCAGAGTATATTGCCCAATTGAAAGCGTTATTTGTATCTGGTAACTGACAGAAATTGCTACAAATAAATTGAAACAACAGTAGTGAGACGGTTGAAGTCGTCGATATGGACCGGTAGCTCACTTACTAAGGCGTTCGACTTTCAACTACTGAAGTCCAAGATTCAAACAACATCCCACTAACCTGGTTTGGTTACTAGTTTAACCTCATCAATCATCACACAAAAAGAGTATGTTTAAGGACGGGTATGCGAAACTGTGTAGGATAAATGAGTGACAGTATATGCGAGGAGATAGTGAAAGAACCTATGGGAATGATGTCATGTTAATTAGATGTAATTTGAATGCTGACTCCTGTAATACTTCACAAATTGTACAAAACGTATAACTAATATGTGAAAAGTACGTCAGTTTCTGTTGCTGAAAACAGAGAACCTCACTTTTAAATGAATATTGATGACTACATAAAATGCATTCAGTTTAGAATTTCCTCTTTGAGCGTGTTTAACTATTGACTTATTCAAGTAGAAAACAAACATACAATAATCTGAAAATTTAAAATGTCACCACCACATAAATATCAATTGAACCAACAAGGAGGAACTAGTTATAACTAAAATTCCAACATGATTTAAAATCTAATTCAGCTGACGAAACGTGTTCTTTTTTTTATACTTATATTTCATGTGTTGAATGTCACTGAATTTATAAGATGTTTGCCAAAATTATAAGAAGCTCCAATTGAATATAGTGCTTCGCGATATGATAGCTCAGTTTTTCCAGATTAGTTGATATAGCTGAGCAAGTTTAGAAGAGATCCCTTAAGACTTGGAAATGTTTTCTAATAAATGCCAACAAACATATTTGTTTTCACAAATGATACCGATAAAGGTTTTCTTTCATTAGATTATGTCACTAATATTACATTTGATGTTGGTTCAAAACTGAAAAATTAAAAAATACACTACGGAAACAGGTTTTATGCTATTTTAAGCAAAAAATAATTTTTATTTAACTATAGTAAGTATGATTGAAAAATTATTCAAGCATGATCTAAGTCTAATGGTATAGTAAATTAGAGAAAATTATTCAAGTCGTAGAACTGAATAACAAAAAACTCACTTTCGTAAATACAGATAAAGGAAATCCCCAATCATCAGTAGGAAATGGTGAATTTAACGAAAGTTTGAATATTGAATCGTCAGTTATTTTCTCCAGAAAATTGTTGGTTTGATATTTTTTATATGATTCATTTATTACAGATTGTTTGGATTCCGTATGTAATGTGTTAGATACAGTTATTATATGAGTTCTTTGTGGATCAATATTATTGGCTGAAACCAAAAATGGAATGGAGTATTTACAAAATGCTGATTGGCAGATAAAATTGTCAATCCGACCATGAATTTGGTATAGTTACTTAAAACGGTTTTCACTTTAGTGAATCTTTATAAATAACTTATATAGGCGTATAAACCATCAGGTGATACAATGAAGAAAAATTAGCAGTCAGTCATAAGCTACGTTGAACCTTGCACATATGTGTATCCATCACCATATGAGTAGATAGAGCTAAAATTCTCAAGATGAACGTCATAGTAGTAGATATAGTAGCATTATTAATGGTAGTAATAAACATTAAACATAAAAAATATGATTCGAGAATAAAGATGTAAGATTATTTAACACTTGAGAGCTTATAAAGGAGAATGAGTGAACGTATCTGTCTCACTACGACTGATTCTCTAATATATCGCGTCTCCAACCATTGATTACAACAATCACGTAGACACCGACCTCAACTTCTGCACCTACCAAAACGGCTATAAGTAGATACCATAGAAAATACGAAGTAAAATGGCTTATACGATATAGATGAGTATTTGGTTGTTTACATATGAAAATAACACACATCTGATGTCATTTTTAACAAAAGCTATAAAAATGGGTTCTGTAAACAATTCACTAAGACCAGTACTGATAGACAGGCGATATTAATAGCCCTGCATTTGTGCCATAGTGTCATAATTGCAGTATAGTTGGTGAAAGTATCGTTTTGAATAACAATAACATATCATTAGAGTCTTGATAACACTATTAAACATCCACCCATATTATAAAAATGAGAACTTGTGAAAATAGCACGTACAATATCTACATATAATAGGCCAATAAACAAACCTGAGTTCTTGGAATCAACATTTGAAGTAAGCTGAACGTTTTCTTCCTAGAAGATTGAAATGGACTTGAAATGAGTTATTATTGTTGTGAAAAAGTTAAGGATATGAAAAAATTAAAAAAAAATGGGGACAACTGATTGGAAGTTTATTTTCTGTTTGAATGAAAGTAGCCATTACAAACGGATGGAATAGATGTTTAAGAGGAATCCGACGATGCTTTCATACCAATTCAATATTATTCATTGAAACTAGGAGTACATTATCCAATGGGTATAAAATAAACAGTAATTACGTATGAATAATACTTGATTCCAAGTCAGTCAGTCAGTCAGCTACAACGTAGGACCAGGAACATAAGTGCATCGGTCCAAATTGCTATACCTCATTAGCATAACACGATGAACACCGAAATCATAGAAGTAATTACTTGATTCCAAGTAACGAACAAGTTACACTAAACTGTGGTCTTTTTTGATAGTATATATAGAGCTTCAAGCGACTCCACTGAGTAACTTACATATATAAATCGACTTTTGTAAGAAATATAACTACTGAGCGCTGACGCAATGATCATGGAACAAGAAACGTGGTTAAAGTAGTCAGTGAAATGTCGTCTATCATTCCTTGTCCAGTAAGCTTTAACAATGTAAATTTAAAAATTCATATAACGAAAAATCCGTAGTATTTACAAATACATTTGAAAATATCTTATAACTTAACAACAATTGACTACCCAATACACCGTTTAACAAATAGTTATTCGTATACAAGACTTTCCACAACCAATTGTAGAATGAATAGTTTTCTTGACTGATTTTATGAAACAGTTGTTAAACCTATACTTATGGTGTATTGAAAAGGAAGACATCTAGAAAGCGCAGAAAATATACAAAACCTAGTCTCTCCAGTGCGATAATAAATAACCAACACTAAAACGTAATTGTAAATGATTAGTGAGAAAGGTTACATATCAACGATAATATTTAAAATCACAATTTTTCATTGAGAACCATAACAATTGAAGATGTTTCTGGACACATACAAGAAAGCTTACTTTATTTAGAGTTGAATCTGTATTCTGTTCTGACACTTGTCCACTGATCTTAGTTAATGATCCTTCTAATGAATACTGATAAGAATTAAAGCTATTTGAACTGGAATCATTCACATTAGGCCAATAACTTGTTTCTGAAATCCATGAGGGATCAATAACGGAGCACTGTGACAAACCACTACTTAACATATCTGTTGAAACGTACGATAGCAGAAATAGTAATTAAAGAGATATAACAACCAATGAATTCATGATAATTTTTTTAATTTTAACACATAGATATTGGTACAAGGAGGCACCAAATACATATGCGCCACACAAATCTCATTCGATATGTGTGAGGGCTGTGATACTGCTCGGGTGCCCAGACCGAAGCAGGTGGTTTTCTAAGGGGGCCACTCCCTAAGCCTTCGACCTAAAGGTCTGATCCACAAGGCAGTGGAGCATCGTAAGGAGATGCAGTCCCATGGAAGCCGGTGACCAACAATTGGTTCATACGCTATTTGTTCCCGGAGGATACTGGAGCCCATGTGCACCATTGGTTTGGAATCCGGTTAAAGCGCCGGACATTCGCTTTCGTCCTCTTAATTTCGTAAACAACAGTAGTGTCAAGAGAAGGCAGTGGGTAGGACTTCCCCGGCAGAGGCTATATACGCGTGGCCATGTGAGAGCATTTCGAGAGGGAGAGCGGACTCTCCCCACTCTCAGCCGTACCAGGGCATTTGGGGGCTTCATGATAAAATCAACAGCAGAGAGTAAAATGTCAAATATATCAACCTCAGCTGTTCTCTTGGATGAAGGATTGACTGGCAAGCACCGCAATAGTAGGTTAGACAAAATTACCAATATATATATATATATATATATATATATATATATATATATATATATATATATATATATATATATATATATATATATATATATATATATATATATATATATAGCAGCAAAACGTCCTATCCTTGTTTAACATAATTTCTTCTGATCTAAAATAGTTCAGTTACATATGTATTATAGTTTGATTTGTAGTTCTTTCTGGTTTCTCTTCGGGAGGAAAATAATGCACAGGCCTACAATCATATGAAAGTTGGGGGAAGGAGGTTAGTGCATTTATAGCACTATATTTTGAATTCATTACATAGATCAAACCGTCTTTCTGGATACGCACCTGAGTTTGCCGTCAAAAACATCTTTTCATTTTTTTAGGGCTATATTCTCTACGTTAAGTTAGCCCAATTATTTAAAAACCATGATTTTCGTTAGTTCATGGCTTTTCAATATATATGTCAAGATAATTTATAATACTATCAAATCATCAAAAAAACTTAGCAGTGAATTCGTCTACTTCAACTATAATTAAAATTGTATTGTGAAATTACATATCTTAATGAATGTTTACACGTCCAAATAAGTTGTGATTAGAAATTGTATGGAAGACAAAAATTATTACAAGAAATAAATAATATAAATTTGATTACCTGGATACAAACTGAGTAAAGTTAACATCCAATTTGATATAGTTCCACCAGAATCTCCCGTAAATAAAATGCGTCTTTCCAATAAAAGTAATTTGAATAGACATAATGCGTCACGTTTGTAAACGCGAACAAAATTGGACGCACTTAGATTATAAAATAGTGCATCTATGAAGACGGTGAAATAAGAAACAAAGATAGAAAAGTTAATAAGAGTATAAAACAACAATAGGACAGAAATTAATCACAGTTTTCACTAATGTATGACAACCTTGGAAAAAGGTTGTTACGATAAGCGAATAACTGATAAATAAAATAACTTTTGAAAATGCAACGAAATTTTTGTTTATAATAATAAGTATTCTATAAAACTTTTGTTGTAAATCATGCAAATATTTGCTGAACTGCCAACTCAGATTAGTCAGCATACTCGGAAATAGTAATTTATAGAGAAATGCTACAGCTTCAAGTTGAAATCAGTTATTAGGAAAAAGTTAATTTGGGCTAGAATGGTAGCTATTAAATTTATCAGAGCAACAAAGACAAGTTTGATCTTTACAACGATAGATATACAAAAAGCCAACCTGGAACGAGTAGTCATACGAACTTTCAGAGTTGGATTCTGGTGGGTAGGAGAGATATTTAATCCCCTCTATACCCTAAGTAACTAGACGAACATGTAAAGAAGAGATAATTGATGACGAAATGAGTAAAGTCTGACGAATACTTTTGGAGAGTAGTTTTGTAGTGAACGAGAACACTAGTGAAGACAACCGAATGTTTTTTTCTACCGAAAACCTTATTCCGGGAAGTTTCAAGGACAAACGGTCACCTTGTGCCGTTTCACTGTGGATTTATTACTTACTTTCATGGAACAGGTCATGTTAGTTACATAAAGTGTGCACTTAGTAAACATATATTCTTGCACTAATCTGCAAAGAAATCTAAAGGGTAATGAAAATTGAATAACGGTTCAATCAATGAACAACATAACAACCTCTGATTACACGCCATCATAAGAAGTGTCGTTTAAAATCATCTAAGAAGTTAAAGAAACTGGTTCGAAGGTTTGGACGAAGATTTGTGGATAGGATTTCATCATTTCAAACCCAAACTCTCTGTATAAAAAAGTCATCTTCAACTCATTTTTCTTCCATGAACTTATCACCCCTCTTAATTTTACTAATAGAAAGTGCCAAGTTTTATCTTATTCTTCACTTTTTTTCTCATATATGAGGTGGTTATTGTGCAAATTATTAGTTCATAATAAGTCTGAAATAAAGTGAAATCACTTTTACTGAAGCTGAACACTCAGCGAAAGACTCATTGTGATCAAAGTAACAATTAGGTAGGGTATGTTTTTGGTAAAAGTGTGATAGTATGCATTTTGTGGTGAGGGTAACAACTGTTTATTGCTTTATGAAATTTGTGCACGGACATTTCACCAAAGGTTTTGGAGTTTTCATCAGCACAAAACTTCTATCTCGTACTATTCAACCAAGTGTAATTCTAACACATAACCTTGATGTGCAAATCAGAAACTAGACTACGAATTATGGTACCGAATTTATTGTCTGCTTAATGTCTTACAATGAACCTATGATTAACAAAAATGATTTACATTCAAGTATATACTTTGCTAAGCACTTCAGATAAGTGGTTACTAACTCAAATAATTTGTTAACGGGTTGATATTTCTAAAGTAATGCTTTTATTGTGGATCGGTATGTTCTGTGTCAAAAACTATTTTGTGAACCAATCATAACAGCGCTTCAAAAGTCGGTTACTAGGAAAAAACCCAATTAGTTGAAAATTAAACGCACTATATAACCATACCTTGGTAAGAAACTGGATCACTTAAAACAGTATCTACAAAATGACTTAATTGTTCATATGAGTCCTGGAGACTTTCTGGAGTAAAACCTTTGCTTTTAAACAGATTATCAATTATTGTCGTAAGATGATGGGCGATGAAACTAAAAAGTGGCTAGAGAAAATAAAATAAAAGAGAAAATATTTACAAATTAACAAAGTACAAACAGTAACATATTGTAATTAAATATGCTACTGGGTGATATTGAGGGTTGGACGGAACCGATATCAATCGAAAGGTTTTATTACTGTAAATTATTTGTATTTACAGTTAGGTGACGTGAAGTATTATATAATGCGCATACAACTTGCAGTGGAATAGTTTAGATCATGAAGTCCTTTATATGACACCAAGTACCATTATTGATGTCTAAGAAATGTCAAGATTTAGCACACGTTTTCGCAATACATGTACATAGGTGTGAAACGTTCAACACGTTAACATCCATTGGAAATGCTGTTTGCTTGGGATTGGAATGAATAGAGGTCGATTAGCAAGGAGAATTGAAAAAAACTCATACCTCATGGGAGAAATTACACATTAGAAAATGAGGTGCTAAAAAGGGCTAAAAAATGAAATTATTCACTTCAAGAATTACGTTGTTTACAACGTGTTCCTGTATTGAATAGGTTATCTACTTTTAAGTCCCTATAAATTAAGACTGGTGATAAATATAAAAAAGTGTGATTGTACGATTGACCAAGATCAAGCGACACATTCTCATCAAAATCACTTATCATTCTGAAGAACAGGTAGTACTATCTGCACTGAAATATGTGAAGTAAAAAAATGTATGTAGCTGACTTACTGATTGTGTTACATAAGATAAACTATGGATAGTATCAAAGATAATAAGATCACTTAAATAGCGGTTATCTTTGCATTTTTTAAATTCCTGTAAAACTTTAAAACGATACCCATAAAAGTTATTTTTGTATTTTCATGGTTTTCAATTACAGGATTGGGTGAAGGTTGGAATCAGCAAAGTCGACAAATTTCAATTGAAAACTTCACCATAACGAATTGATAATTTAGTCGCTTTTGATTACTTGATCTTTTTATAAACTTGGAGTAAATTAATTTTCACTGTACTCTAGGAATTATTAGTGATTATATGTTCATGAGAGAACAGTAATGAACTTTCAAACAAGAACTATGGTGAAGTAAACCAAATCCTTTGAAATGATCAGAAGACTCAGACAACCGACTGTTGAAACCTCGTTTCATTTTTAGTTAACTATGTTTACTATCGTGACTTTAAACCCGGCTACTTATCACGTGGCTTATTCGCCAATCGGAATATGACTTATACAATCTTAGCACTGCGCCAAACCAATGATGTATCGACAGGTATGAGCAGCCTAGCGTCCTTATTTGTCTTCTTTCCTCCTACATTTACCAGTTGAGTCCAGAACACTAATACCAGATTCCACTATACGAATCACTTATTTCAAACATACCTAGTTTATATACATGCCAAACAGAACACATCATACCACAAAATGGGAAACAACATTTGTACAAGAACAAGCCAAAAAGTGGCTGTGATCGTGGGATGTAATTAATAAATTGGACATAACTTAAGAACAGTAAATCGTAAAACGATAATCTATAGGTCAAAATAAAGCTTAGAATAAGAGGGATATGGATATACATAATCTTGTTACTGAATAGTTATACAATAAGGACATATATAATATTAGTCCCTTAATAGTTCTGAGAGGTTATCCGTAATTTAATCTTCACTAGGTTATAACATTTACTTCACCTACCAGTCACTTAACTACAACGAAGTACCAGACACATATATGTATCGATTCAAGGTGCCATACCTCATTAGCACAACATGAACACCATATTCATAGAAGTAGTCACTTCAATCGTATTAATGTGTAAAAGAAAAATTGCGTATAAGGATATAATACAAGAAGAAAGAATTAGTTGGTAGAAATAAAAAGAAGTAATTTTAATCTCACGGTTTACGGGAAGACAAAGAGTGTTTACACTGACGCCATTATGATCGATTCTGAGCCACGTCATCTACAGTCTCCAACCACTGGTGGTCGCGCGGACCCCAACCAAGTAGCCTGTAGCTACCAACATGGCTCAGAGTAGAAGTTAGTGATGTTGTGGATTGATGGCAGGTTTTGATTTAACCGCCCCTAACTTTCTTCCAACCGTCCCCAACACTAGTCAGGATTGCGCATCATGGTAATCGGTGTTCAGGCATACGCAACACGTGGCTTAACCAACTCAGTCGATGAAGATTTACAACCACGTCGACTGATCTACCATCATTCCTTAATACCATGTGTCTAACCTCACTATTACTTACCCAGTGATCCCAGCAGATGCGAGCAATGTTTCTAAGACATCTGTGGTCAAATATTGGTAGCTTACGAGTAACTTATACTCTTAATGGCCACGTTTCGCAGCCATAAAGTACACTCGTCCTTTAATTGATAGACGGATATCTTGCCTTCGCCATAGTTGGTGACGTGAGTTGACAAAAGCCAAATGAGCTTTCTCAATCCGTGGTGAGATTTCGTCAGACACCAACTCATTAGGGCTGACTAGACTTCCAAGATAAGTGAAATTGTTGATGCGTTCGACTACTTCACTCTCTATTTTTCGGTTCAGATGTTGACGCAGATCAGTTCTGAAGCAACAATTTGCATTTAGAAAAAGAGAAACGCATTCGAAACATCCTGGCATTGTTTCTCAGTGCTAACAAAACACTGTATTTTATTAGCGTCTTCACCAAACAGGGTTATTATTGAAGCTAGTATTTTAGATGCTATATTAGTCAAACTAATCCGTACATGGTCATCATAGGATGATTTTGTCCGATTCTTATATATTGTGACAAGTGATTGCGACCAGTCAGATGGGTTTATTTCCAACTCCTAGATTTTAGCTAAAATACTAGTCAACCTAATCGCTAAAACTGGACCACCATACTTAAAGACCTCTGGAGCCACTTTATCTGGACCAGCTGCTCTTCCTCGTTTCAGATTAGCTATAGCTTTTTGAACTTCAATTAGAGTCGAGGAGGCCTACATCAATGTTTCATTCACGATGTTTGGGAATGGTGGGCAGCTATAGAGTAGCTGGAGGCCAGCTGAACTGCTCCTTAAAGTGTCCCGCTCACCGTTCTAAACGTCTGAGCTGATAGCAGATAAGTGTCGCCTTTTCCGAGATCGTCTCACACTCACTTTCCTTATCAACGTTTCCTCGATAGATTGATTTACATCAAATGCAACTAACACAAATAATTGGAGCCTATGAAATAATGTTTATGGCCTTGTAAAACCGCGCTCCAAAACACATGTTGAGGCTATCAATATCTGTGTTGTTGTGAATAGGAAAACATAAAGCCCTGACAAACTACGAAAGCTACTTTTCGGGACGTTATTCCATTTTATTCAAAGCTTGCAAAACACTGATATTTATTTTTGTCCCTAATCTATTCTACAGAACATAAGCTTTCGTTTGATGTATGATTCATTGCCATACCCTTTTTTGTTCCGAAGTTATTGTAATTTAAACATAATATTTCGCGCCCTATTTTCTACTTTAATTCCCAGCTTTGGACATAATTGTATTTTTCCTAATTATTGTACGTTGTGGTCGGGTTATTCACTTATTTATTCATGTACCTTTTTACACTAATCCGAACTGAAATCAGAATATCGGGAATAGATCAAGTAGTGTTCCAGTTGTCTTGTCTTCTCTCATTCGCGTGCTTGTCAGCCAATCAGGTGATAAAATAGTTTTCTTCTCTCTACCCCATTTCGAACTCACGCGTACTAGCCTTAAGGTTAGATCAGTCAGCCTATAGCGCCAAGGTCTTAATCTGGATTAGATATATATCCTCAGAATCAAAAGTCGGTAAAGAGACCAAAGGACATAACATGTGTGAAGTCAGAAATCGAGATCCAATAATGAAAACTCTGTGATGCAGTGACACAGATGTACACTACCTCCTAAATCCATTTCGATTCACCTTAACAGAACATGGAATCCATAGGACAGATCAATTAGGTATTTCGAGACTCGATAGCCGATTTTCATGTATGTATAAAATTAACTATGAAAGAAAAATGATTTTTCAAATATTTGGGTAAAAGCTGGTAATGGTAAGGATATACACTACTTATTAATAGTTCCTACTTCGAAAAATATAAAAGTAGAGCCTCACTGTAAACTTCCAAGCCCACGCGCAATCGTACGCTCAAATGTAGTCACCGTAGTGACTTTATTGCCCAGTTCGGTATACTAAGCTAACAACAAGGACGTCAAAGTATATTTTGCGATACCCTGAAGTAAACTGATGTTTGTCATAGTATATACTTTGAAAATAATTATAAACAGATTCTAAACTTATGCGTATCGAAACAACAATTGTAGTGGTAACGACCGGGGTTAATCCAATCATAACTATGGGCTACTGTCGTTCGCTATCATTATATGCTTACACGCGCTACAGTAATATTAAGAATCAGATCACAGAAAACAAAGAGTATGAGTATTCCAACGATAAAAATATACTTCAGTTTGGTTGTCAAGACTATATATAGCTGAAAAACGATTACAAATGAAAACACACAACAGGGATTATTGCATACCACTTACAAATCTCGATAGTACAACCAAGCTTTTCTGTACAGTGTTCCGAGTGATCTCAGGATTAGGTTGAACATACGACTAAAAATGAAAAATGCAATTAAAATTTGTAAACTTTTTGCCTCTTGACGATAATAAGAAATAAGTAATGAATGGACAGCTATATTTCCTGAAAGCAGTAGTATAATCTTGATAAAACCGTCTCAATGTAAACGATTTTGACGACAGATGTACCATTAAAATGGAGCCTGGTCAAAACTCGTGTCTATATATATAAAGCATAACTGACAGTTACGGTTCTCAGCTTTTCGGGTATGACAGGAAATCAAATCAGAGTTACAACTAAACGACTGGTTTTTTATAACTTGATATTTTTATGGCACTCAATGATAGAAATAAGCGGTAAGTAGCTACTGGTCGGCGAAATCATCGACAGACGAAGAAAAAAGAAAAATTGGACAAGAACAACTGGTCCAGACACATTAATCATTTTCCGATAACGGTGATTTGAGACTAGCTTAAAACACCTCGATCTCTAGGATGTACAGTAAAAAAGTAGATGATAATCTAGTACTTTATGTGTGCATAATGCTGACATTTCATTTTATTCATATTATTTATTTGAAAATACATTGGCTTAAATGAGAACCCAAATAAATATGAGGTACACAATGAAAAATGAGATAATGAAGAGATAGGTCGGTAGTGTTATAATATCTGACCCGTCAAATATCGCGTGACAAAACCGCCAATCAGAATATCGACTTGTCCCTGCGCTAAACCAATGATGCGCCAACCAGCACTAGCAGACTTGAATCAAGTCCAAGTCTTTATTGGTCCTTCGTATAGTAAATTCTCGCCTAGTCCAGCCCGTTTATTCCACAACACAAATATCAGCCACATTTGTAGGAATTGTATATTTCAGATACATGTGGTTTACATACAAACAAACGAAATCGTGTAACACTATAAAGTGAAAAGTAGTGATCAAGCCAAAAAAGACTGTGATTATGGGACTGTAACTAATAGATATGAATTAGTAATGGCAAATCGTATAACAATAGCCAATAGGTCAAATAAATGCTTATGATGAAAGGAATACATATAGTCTAGTTACTTAACAATTATTTGAGATAATATTCCAAAATAATTCCTAGAAGTTACTATTCATTTATTTTTCGTTCGGATGTAACAGGTATGGTCAAGGACAACAATAAATAAAAGTGGATGAAAGCAGTATATAATTGAAGAAACATTTCAGTTAACAAAAATACAATCAGAAAAAATCCTTTCAGTTAAAAATGTCTCTCTTACTTGCTTCGGTTCGGGCACCCAAGCAGTATCATAGCCCACAAACAAATCAAGTGGCTTGTGTAGCACATATGTATCGGGCGCCCCTTTTGTGTTAAAATAATAAATAAGTCTCAAGCCGATGTGCTGCACTATCTTACGGACACCGACCACAGAGTTGTGAAGGACCAGTCAGTCAGTCAGCTACAACGTAGGACCAGGCACATGTGTGCATCGGTCCAGGTTGCCATACCGCATCAGCACAACAAGATGAACACCGGATTCATAACAGTGGTTAGGTAAAAGGTGGTAATATATAAGAGAAGATTGCATATAGAGATATAGTACAAGAAGAAAGAATTGGTTCGTAGAAAGAAAGATATGAAGCGATTTTAATCTCATAGTTTAAGGGAAGACAGGGAGTGTATACACCGACGCCATTGTGATCGATTCTGAGCCATGTCACCAAGAGTCTCCAACCATTGGTTACGATAGTCACGCGGACTCCAACCAAGTAGTCTGCATCTACCAACATGGGTCAGACTAGAAGTTAGTGACTTCAAGCACTGATGCCACGTTTTGGTTTGGCCGCCCCTAACTTTCTTCCAACAATTTCCAATACCGGATAGCATTGCACGTCGTGGTAATCGGTGTGTGAAGGACCAACAGAGGCCAGTTCTGTACAGCTTACTTTTTCGCTACGGAAGTTATAAGGTGACTACCTCTCCGCCTTCCCCAACGTGTTTCGGCGTCGGAAAATAAAGCCCAGTAGAAAAAATTCACTAGGGAAACATTCATAATGCATATCCAAGCCACCGAAGTAGATGGTTCAAGATGGTGACACCAATCTAATTGTCGCTACCGTGCTCGAACGCATGTTTCCGAACCTCCGCATTACGAACAAGGTGTTGGTGATGTATATCTAGTCTCTAAAATTTTATCAGGCTAACTTTTGCGTATCTTCAAGATAGGCTGAAGCTAATTTGTTATTCAATATATAGCACACAGACATTAACTTTATAAATACAATACAATTTTACGAGTGCAATGTTGTGAAAGGCACATAAAATGTTTTAGCTTAACGACACAAATAATCCCAAGCACATTTCCTAACCACACAAACAGTTTATACGCAAGCAGAGGAGCAAGATGACTGATGAATGTATTCAAAGAGTACGTATAGATAACTATCTGTGTGGTACACAGATTCACAAAGAACGTACACGCGGAACCTGAACATTAGTTCAGAGCATCTATGTCTAAAAATTGGGCCAGTATGAGCCACTACATCAGATATCTAAATATTAATACAAACAGAGTAATTATCAGTTTGGACCAGTCAGGAAGCCTCAGACGATGATACTGGGAGCTCAATAGGAATTGTTAGCTTACCAGACGATGTGAATAACATCACAACAGGTTGACATTTTGACAAAATATATTTCTGTCAACAGTACAGCACTGTTTCATGAGGATTCTCTAAAAATTAGTTCATGGCGCTTGAATAAACGAAAATATCTCTAGCATAGCAGTGACATCAGTTGTAACTGTATGGTGGAATGTATCTTTAACAAAGTATTGCTAGGTAATACAATCAGTCATTAAAAAGTATGAAAACTTACAGCTGAGTCTGCTTGGCGGTAACAAGCAATTCCAAAAACAGAGTCACCCTTCTTCTCTATTGAAGGTAGGCTGAAATATGTGCAATCTGAATAAATTAACCAATAATGTTCGTGACCAACCTTTTGTGTAGTTATGGGCTCCATCGGCTATTGCTAAAGCAGGCAAATGACGCCATGGATGAGGGAGATGTGTATGATCAGAACTATCACATGACAGTGAGGGATAGACTAGCTCAACCTTGTGAAATCAAACTTGTTTATAAAGCAAACTACTTACAACAGACCCCTTCCTGTGATGAAAGCCAATCAGAACTAAGTTTAGGATGCTGTTAGAATTCTGCATCCCCGAGGTCACATTTCATAGTGAGCGCTACCAACTGAAAGTAACCAAAGGTTCACTTAAAATTCTGACGTTTGAACTAAAAACCTAAATAAGTCAACTTGCCAGCATTTTACTCTTCTGAAATTATCTCTATTAAATATTCTCTTTCTATTAGATTGCTTTCATGATTTTGTAGCCGAATACTTGAAAATGTATGGATGACCAATTCGTAATTTTGACTGTGGAAACAACAACATATGGCTGTGTAACGATTTGTGACAAAAAGACAGTTCATTTATAACTGATGCATATATCTGGCATTATTAATGAACATGTATATGGGCCTTTGAGTTTTTCATCAAAAACTAACGTCTTATAATGCAGAAATGAACTTCACTTTGAAGTTTTAATAATTTTTCCATAGCCTTTAATCTAACCGTATAGTTTTCCTAAATTTTGCGTCGATAGGACCCCTGATCTTCGCGTTTTTTGCACAATGAGGTCCTCAGTTTTAAAAACTAAAGATATCACAGATATTCGAAGCTTGATTGCGCATTTGCTCATAGGACTCTTCTAGTCGAACGTCTGAAAGCTAGTCAATTCAGGAGGCTGAACTGAACGTTTTCAAAGGAATGTTTGAAATGTATTCGTTATGTTAGGAATTAGGTATGAATAACAAGGATTTTAGGTGTTGTTGTTAAAATTTCCCCCATGCCAGTTTACTGAACTAAATGGCTGAATGAATCTATAAAATGAGAGCCGATTTCATCATGAACTTCATTGACATTGTGTTGTGATTTTTTACTTTTAAAGTCTCGTAACAATTCAAACTTTATCTGAATCAATTCGATTGTCCAAATTTGTCACTATCATCTGTGAAGTGACTTCAACGTTCATCGGCACGGACTGGCAGGTAAGCCACGGGTTTTCGCGCACACGTTACATGTTGTCGTGGAATTTTTGTGTCGTTATTTACCAGCTATTAACAGGCTTTTTTGCATGACACATCAATTTCTGTATTGCTAGTGCTTGTAACATAGTTTTTATTCCAATTTATTGGCAGTTTGACGTATTTCTTGCTCACCACGTAAGTAAATCTGAAGTTAGCTTAATATAGTTATTTGTAACAATACAAACTCAAGCAAGTAAAGTTAACCGTGTTTCTAGTCAAAAATACATAACAGATTGAGTTTTCATGAAAATGAACCGTAAAATCTTTTACATATGGTTCACCTCCTTGATTGCGGTGACGGTGAACATGGATGTCGGTAGTTGTTTATAAAATGTAAGTAGAAGCAATCAAGCGTTAAACTAATTGTGAATATTATATAACTTGTTTGTATTTAGCCATAAACAGTTATATCCATTAGAGGTACCATTGTTTTGTACTGAAGTGACATAATTATGTAACGTATTTGAGAAATATCATGTGAGTAACAATTGACGTTTATAGTGTTGTCCAGCGGCTTTCTGAACGTCTGCAGTAATAGTGTATAACACCACATCAAGTAGGAACAAAATCTTCATTAGTAAAACGATCGGTGTTTCTTTTGAGCATGGTGACACAACCAAGGTTTTTAGTTAATACTGATTTGTGACGTGTCTGTTATAGGGTTCACAAGTGAGTTATTATAAAGTCTTCACTCCGTCTCCGTAATACAGTTGTTGTGTTTTTTAGGAAGTTATGAATGAATGTCACTACTTGTAAATAAAAGACTTATAGGCACAGTCTGTTACTTGTTATTTGAATAACTTATTGAATATGATACTGAGAACAAAGTTTAATTGTTTGTCTCAAAACGGATTTGTTGTTTTTCAGAATAGTATGAAGCTTATGGAATTTAGGATTACGGAAGATCGTGTGGAAAACCGGTTACAAGTTTACGATAACTGTTTTATATTGCCTACTGCTATGTTCACTCATCTAATGAATTATTTAAATATAAATATAACAACCATACGCAGTGTTTTACATTATAAATCCTGTAAGTTTGTATAATTATGGTCTAAATAAAGCCAAAACAAATATTGAGGCAGAATCATGTGACTGCATTACATTTCATGGTTTCTCATAAGTTGCATACAACTGAATATGCATTATAATTTAAGATTGAGAGAAGAAATAGTATGAAAGATAATCGAAAGCAAAGAATTGGAATGACCTAGGTTATCAATAATAACTATACATATGTATATGCTTGAACAGGTCAAAGGTCATTTGGTGTTAGACTTAAGGGAACATAAAGGATGGGTGGTGTAATAGTCCAGTGAAGGTCAAAAGCATATAAGATAAATTGTGTGATAATTCTAGATGTAATGAATAAATTAGCGAATTAAGAACTAATAAGATAAGTGAAGACAATCTGAAGAGTTAACATAATTTAGCAAAGAAGTGAGTGGAAGGGTGGTATAAGGATTACGTAATCCATCTTATCAGGGAACTAGCTGCATGAAATTGTCTACTTCCATACTAATACTAACTTGATAATGGACGTAATCTGACAACGGAAAATATGTAAGGCGGTTGTTTAATCTGTAAGGTTTTACGTGGAAGTCGCATTGTTGTTTTATTTGACTCGTTGATTCATCACAATGAACAACGATATAACGCTAAATTCTAACGACAGTTCGTAACTAATACAGTAGTACAAATTCTTAATTTTCAAACACTATTATTCGTTAAAGCGATTGGTAAACCTCCCCATGAAAGTATGAAGAAGACGAAAATAAAAAGTGAGAAAAAGTTTATTGATTTTTCATGACTACTAAAGTTGAAAGATAAGTTTACAAGTTGTATAAATAGTGGTAAAAAATAAAGCCACAAAGAACTGTTAATCGTAAACCTGCTGTTTAGCTGTTTATAATTCTTAAGTAAAAATTATAGACTTTTCTCTCCACCTGATTCGCGAAGCGTTCACCATATTTCTCAACAATTTGTTGTTTGCACATTCTTTGGAGCCGTTGAAGTTGTATATATTCTTTACTCCGTCTCGGTAATGAAATTGCTGTGTTGTTTTGTAAGTTGTGCGTATTGTCTAATTTCCATCTGCAGCAACACCTAAGAAGTTGATGAGCTATGCAGTTTATATTTTATAATTTAAATAGCTTACCTGTTAGATTTCGTCTTTTAACATATGCCAGCAGGAGATGGCGGCACGGATATCGACACATATTAAACGTGCTACAATTACATTGACAAATACTTAAATCCACTTCGTAATGTTGTCCGCGGTCTGCCATAAACAACCACTCGCCGCTTTCATATTCACAGTTAACAAAACGCATTTTTTTAAGTTCATATAACACCTTGCATCTTGCAAACGGAGTTAACATGTTAAGTAAGGGTATAAGGCGTTGTGGAGCATCATAACTGTATGTTCTTCTACTGACTATTTCGTCTTCAATGCTTTTTCTAGAGAATGTCATTGAACTCCACTTAAAAGCCTTGTACATACATTTGTGCAAGCTGTCGCTTTTGCGTACATACCTTTTTATCTGTCTATTTAATGACTCAACACGATTATTCGTGTTGTTACCCAAAGTTAATACACTGCCGTAAAAGGCACGTGCCCACATTGCTTTACGTGGCATCCAGTAACGTGATAGGTACTGGCCTATCACTCTGTCTCTGCGGTTTATTATTCTATAATATTGATTAAATCTAGTGAATAAATACATTAAAAAATTACCTTCCGACCGTTTCTGCGGTTACCAGTCGTGTCAAGTAGGTTTTCAGTATTTTATCAGTTGTCTAAAAGAAATTTTACGTAACCAACCATTGGTGTACCTTTTTCCGGAAAGCGCGAATGACATGAAAGGCGCATAAAATAATGTTTGCATGCCCGTGCGTTATACGGACAGCTGCGCTTTCAGATCGTGCGCAATCCATCACAAAAGTTTCTGTTTTGGTAGTGTCACCCATTATTTCCTTGAATTTATCCAAAATCCACGTAACGTCGGCACGCTTTTCTTTTTGTGTCCAAGCAAACATAACAGTCCGACCTCGACCGCAATTGTCTGTCACCACTAACTGAAATAATGAATATCTACATAGTAGAACAAAACGAAAATCATATTCACTTTTTATTATTAGTTTTATAAGTAGAATCAATACACACAACTTCGGGATATTGATTGTACAGCCGTATCTGATCATAACTGCTAAAGCATATCGCCGTAATACATCCATTTTCTGCATGCTCTCTAACTTCGCCATTTTGTCGCATGATCTGCAATACCTGTTTCCGAGTCCAACCTGAAATATATTTATATACACTTACCAGTGGAGAGTTCAGCTTTCAGATTTTTGACATCAGCAGCGGTCACCTGCTTACCTGTTCTTTCCTTAATACTTTCGATAACTTCGTCCGTCGACTGACAGTGCAATATAACCGGTTTCAAGTTTTCTTTTTCTTCTGCTGACAATCTTCTACTAAACGGATCACAAACCATCCACGAACTAGTACACGGATGGTTGTGAGACATGTTGTAAGATTTTATAACGTATTGTTGACCCTCCAATCTTACGCGAAACATCGATTGGCAATTTAAAAACTTAGACCTTAAACGTAACACATTAGTTAGAGTCCTTACGGTTTTTTATTCACATTCAGACCTTCTGATTTACGTTTACGACCAAACGTGCAACGAAACACTACGAACAAGTATTTATACCTCACATCCTTCAACAATCTACTTTCTGCGTGAACATAGTGTGTATGGGTAATCTGAGAAAACATAGATTTATCCTATCGTACTTTATGGAAATCCTTTAGCGCATTATCGAATTCAATCCAGCTTCCGAATCTCTTGTTCAGCATAATACGTTGGAACGCGTCGCTTACGTCCACTGAAATTTCACTTGAGCATGAAGCACTAGAGACAACACCCAAAATTTATTAAGAAAAAAGTTATTCCTTGAAAAAAATTAACTGAAGGAAGAACAACAAATATTTAGGACTTACCCTTCAGTTGACATTTCGTCTTAACTCACAAAAACTATGCGTATCTATAATCTTTTACGTTATTTTATCTTTCTTACGTTGTTTTCTGGACCTTATCAA